AAACCCTAAAAAACTCACACTTTTGTTGAAGAAGCGCGATTTTTCTACTGACACCCTCATGTTTGCTTCGTAAAGGGCTTTAGAACCCAATCTACATGTGTGACGTGGGATTGTTCATTTTCTGAAAAGATGATCTCATCATCCACATATACGTAGCAAGATTTGTTCTCGCAAAATGTCGTCGATTGTCCTGTGAAATATGCTGGGCGCATTTTTCAGACCAAAAGGGAGACTTCGAAATTCATATTTTCCCCCGTTTACCGAAAAAGAAGTTTTCTCACGGTCGCGTTTTGCGAGCATAATCTGGTGATAACCCGACTTAAAATCTAATGAAATATTTGGCCTTGCCTAATATTTGGCATGGGGTACTTGTGGGATATTGTTTTTTCGTTAAATTTGAGAAAGTAAATTACTAGTCGCATGTTCTTGTAGCCCTCTTCATCAGTTCCCTTTTTGTTTACTACCCCTTTTGGGTTGTTGTAAGGAGACGCTGATTTTTGGATTATGCCGTTACTCAACAGATTGTGTATTTAGTTGTTGACAAGGCGACAGCCCCCATAGGGTAAGGATACAATTTCGCATGGCGTATTCGTTTTCTGTACTGATTGTAGCTACCACCGATGTGTTATAGGGTAGTGCTTCATCTGGATTAGCAAAAGCCTTTTTTCTATCCCTAAGCAATTTTAAAAACGCGCCTTTTATCAATTGATAAAATTACCATCAGTGCACGTATGGCATGGTATTTGCTCCGCTTCCGTACCCCGTTTGAGCTGGCTGGAACCTAAACAGAGAGATGCCCCTGCCTGTGTTAAGAAGTCGAAACCGATTATCCCATTAAACATAAATAAGTCTGGTAATATAAAAAAGGTTGCCTTAAAATTAAATAGCGATATGAGACATTTTTCTTTAATTGTAGTCACACCGTGAATGGAATGGATTGTGAACGGGGAATTAACTGGGCGGACACCTTTAAAACCTTGATGCGGTCGAATAAAATTTTAAGATGCGCCCGTGTCAATTAAGAACTTCATGTGTACCCCTGCTACTCTTCGTCCGATGACAGGTAACATGGATTTTCCGCTAAAAAATTAGCTTCTGAATCATATTCCCAAATAGCATCATCGTTGATCTCTGCTATTGCGCTGGACGCAGTGTTGGCGTAAGATTTCCCTACCTGATCTGAGCCTTGGGTGACGTGGTTTACCCTTTGGGGCGCCTGTGCGCTCGGACGTTGCCGGTCGCCTATACTGATAAGTGGGAGCTTGGGCAGGAGAGCAAACCTTTGCAGAGGGATCGACTTCCATCGGCTCCGGTATACTCTACAATCTGTTATTACGCGGGTCAGAATGTACCTGCGCTTTAACTTGTTTGGTATAATGAGGATTTCTATTGATACCTAACGGGGGGTCTGTTTGGAAAGAATTTCTATCTTGCTGGCGCCTTTGGGCCTTTGGACTCGTCTTACGGCCCCTATCTTCCTGACTCTTGTGGTTAGACTCCACCTCTTGTGCCATGGCTAGGGTCGATGGCATATCTTTCGGCTTTGCCGAGAAAAGTACATCCGTAAGATTCCGCTTCAGGCCTGATATGAATACCCTCAAAGCGTCATCTCGGAACTTATCACATAACACCGCTGCCATATTTCTATCATATGACATATTCACTTTGTTTAAGAGCAGTGTCAGCTATTTTCCTACCTCATCGTAGTACTGCAACAGGGTTAGACCACCCTGTCTAAAAGTGCCTAACTCCTGCTCGATGACGTGCATCGGTCGTTTATCACTGCCCCCGAAAATTCGGGTAGGCACTTGAACTGAGGCTCGCTGCATTGAACTGTATCTCTAATTTCTATGGCTGCATAAACCATTGGAGACGAGATCTCGGGACGCGGTGGGGCGCGCAATTCTGCACTGGCTGGTTTGAATCGATTATTTGTTTGAACTCGTTCTTTTTGTAAATTCGCGGCGGCTGTCCGGCCAGGGCGTTGTCATAGCCGCCTGCACTTAACCCCCTTTCGCCCGTTTTTGTGGAAGCCCGAAGGAGCTCTTCACTATCTGGCCCTGAATCGCTAGCGTACTGCTTGACGCTTCTATACTTAGAAAATGGTGAGTTCATATACGCACACAAAAAAATTAAGAAACGGGGACACAGAGCCGCCAAAATGAGAGCTCGTATTTCATCACTTTATAGTTCACCTAGTTAACTTTAAGGGCAGTAGATACCTTTACCCTTGCATAAAAATTAGTGTAGTGGTAGATATATAAAAATAATAACATTTTAAATTATATGAGATATAGGGTAAATAAGACTGACACATAGCCTCGACTCTTAGTAAAAATAGTTCAGATTAGAAAAATTAATGAATTTAACGTAATATATTTTTTTGTTAATCAAATCCCGCATTTTATCGGGCTCGGAGCCGTTTTACTTTCGTAGTATTCTTTATTAATTTGTTTTAATTTGCAGACTGGTTAGAAAATATTTAAGTGAGGGGTGAACTTTCATTTTATTTATTGTGGTTTCTTCCTCAAAGATAAAATTGTTCATCCAAGAATGTAAAAAAAATTTCCGCGAAACCGTTGGGTTTTTATTGTTCAGCGCCAATTAATCTTTGTTGATGGGCGCGGCCTGAGGTGGTCCTCGTCGGCCGCACTGGCAAGGGTGGTCTTCTTTAATGAGCCCACACGTAGGTGCGGGGGAAACAATATGTGGTATGTATGTGTGGCTTAGGGTGGTCCTCTTCAGCCTTGTGAAACTCTGGTCTTCTCAGAGATGCCCACTCGTGGGCGCGGCAAAAGCGGTAGCTTCTAGGAGCGTCTATTATAGTTGAATGACGGCTAGTAGCTTGTGATTGCCTCCCATAGATGCGGGGGGAATGCTACTTGGAATTGCCTCCCGTAAACGCGGGAGGAATGTGATTGTTGCTTGTCACACCTGCTGAAGCCCGCTCGGGAATGCGGTTGGATGAGGTGGCCTTAACTTCGTTTTCGTATGTGGAGATCGGGGATTCCTCGCCGCAGGCAGAGCCGGATAGCTATCCCTTTACAGTTGCTGATTAGGATGACTTACATTGGGAGGTGACTGCCCCCTTCGACTGCTGGCCTGAGATGTTTAACGGCTGTTGCCGGAGTTTTGCAGAGCTATAGAACTTGTGTTCTTTATTCGTATAGAGCTTGAAGCGAACTGAACTTAAAGTTAACAAAAATATGCAGTGCTTGCCGGATATGCACGAGCATCTACCAAAACCGCTGACGCGGGATTTTGCCGCTGCTGGGCTTCGGACATTTGGTCATCGCCTCCGTCCGGTTAGGTTCTTAGCTAACTACTCCCCCTCAAGACCCTATTAGACCAATCTGACACTGGTGACTCGCATGTAGGTTAGGCCGACACAAATCAATGCGCAACATATTACTCCTGTAATTAGCGCTACCATGTGTGTCTGATTGGTGTTGATTTTATTTCAGAACTTCTGAATGTATTCCAGGTTACGTTCACTCAAGCGGTGAAGGTAGTGATGGTGGTGTTCAGTGAGGGTGAGCTTGCCACCCCCGGAGTCCTCTTCTGGGCGGAGTTTTGGTTCAAAACCACGGTTTCGTTTACTGTGACACGCTTGTTCCGTTGTCTACTCGTACTTCCGCTGATTGATCATTGATGGTGATAATTCCCTCATCGACATAAATTATCGGATGTAAATGGCTTGGTTGGGTCTCGCAGTGCGCAACTCTACCTGCGTGGAGCTCTCGGACGCATGTGGTCTCCTCTGATAGTCGGCAAAAACTGACACCTGGTGTCGTGGAGCAATTCTGGATCGCATACATTTTCCTATTGCATTCTGCTATTATATTATCTACTAACCTTAGCATCTCATTATTATGTGTTACCGGGAACATTGTAATCTTCTTACATGCTAATTAAATTTTTGGGAATTTAATAATGAAGTGCAATATGTTAACAGACTGGAGAATTTTCACGGACGCTACGGACAAAATATCTTTTATAGGTGTGTCGGTGGGCTCCTCCATCCAAATACTTTCTAGGTCTGCGTTTTCTAATTTGTTTGGGCTGACTATGTTTACTTTAGCAAGCGAGACTGCCATCATTAAATTTTGAAGTTTGATTGTTTACATTCGTTTTCTGGAGAGCAGTGGCCTTTGCCACTTTCAGGATTTGATTTACGGTTGACGTTAATTCATTAATTTGACTTTGTATTCTGGTATTTATTTATATTTGTCTATTGTTTGAATTGATTAGTTGTGTTTCTGTAAATTTAATTCTTTCTAAGTCCCCGAAGTCCGGAAATCCTGCTACGACTTTTAACATTGATTCTAAAAAGTCTAAACTCCTAGCTACCCTGTGGTGCACGCCTAACGAGTCGAACAGGTCGCGGAGTTGAGCTGTGTCCACATTCAAAAGTTTTCTCATGTGTGACTGGGGGAACATATCGCTCATATTTTCTGTTTCTTTTACTACGCGTCTTTACTCTGAAAGGTTCGCTGAATGTCTAACGGATGTGAAGTCCTCCCACACTAGTATTCGACCGTCAATAATGGGGATGTACTTGGCTTGTGAATAGTCAGTGATGTGCGCCGACGCCATGGTTAAGGAGAAGAGGATTGGGATGATTTTGAACCTGTGGAATGAATTCGGAGCTATATTTTTGTTCATGACAAGGTTGCCCACCGCCAACGGAAATTAACTTAACCTTAAAAAAGTATTTAATCAGCTATGCTTACAGCTAGTAAAAATGTGTGCCAAGTGGCGAAAAGGAAAAAAAAATGTAAAAAGCTTTTTTTATTTAATGTTGTCTTTGTGGACCACCGTGGTCCCCAGGTCCGCTTCTATGGCTTTCTTCTCACACAGTGGTGTGAGTTTATTGCCAAGTCTTCGGCTTAACCAAGACTTTCTCGCCGACCTCGAATACCCCGTTTTGTCGGGAGACATTTTCCCTGGCCCTAAGTGTGTCCTGGGCCCTTATGATTCATTTTTTTTTTTCCGTCTGCGGATCGTCCGGATGCAGCTCCACTACGTCGATTGGTCGTTTGTTGATGACCGAATGAATCGACTTGTTATGTTTGGTGGCGGCTAACAAAATTACTTCCACAGTATCAGTAAACTCTTTGTCGATTTTCAAACAACGTGCATGTTCCGACAGGGTGCTGTGGAAGCGCTCCTCTTTTCCGTTTGAGACGCTATGGAGGGGTGGTGCGTTTTCAGTGCTTACACAAAAATGGTTCCCGAGCATAGTTGAGATTGTGTGCGAATTTAATGATGGTTCATTATCGCAATAGACTAACTTAGCCCTAGGGAAAAATTTATAAGTTGTAATATGGCCGGTTTAAGTCTTCAATTGTCCTTGAGTGGACATTCTGCACGACGGCGAATTTTGAAAATTTGTCAATGCAGGTGAGGAAGTATTTTTTATCCGTAAAACAAATGTCAATATGAAGCATTTCTCCTACGTGAGAGGGGGTCGGCGTCTCGCCGAGCTCATGTTTTTTGGGAGCCTGTCGTGTTTGGCTTTTGCGCACGTATTGAAATTTTCGACGATCTCGGCAGCTAATTTCGCCATTTTTGGGAAGTAGTACTCGCAGAGTACCTGCTTCACGTTTTCTTGGGCCGACCTGTGAATCCTGTTGTGCTCAGCGGAGAGGATTTTTCGTCTCTCCGTGATTGCAAAAATGTCCGTTACGCGATTTTTGCAACTCCAAAATTTTTGGGCTAGAAATTGGCGAACCAGTTCGTCCTGTATCATTGCGAGTGTGTGTAAATCGCAATGGATGGCGTTTACTCCCTTAGGAACTATTACATCTGCGAGCTCATCAAGTAATGACTCCTTGCAGGAGAAGCTGATCGCATGCCGTCTCTGGTTTCCAAAGAGGACAAAAGACTCGTCAATGCGCGCCTTCCACCTTTTGATTTTTGCGTTCGGATTATATTCCGAAACTGCAAAGTTAATGGTTGGTGGTCGGTAAGGATATGTATATCCTTGACCGCGTATAAGTAGTGCCGTAGTTTGGACAATGCCCAAATCATGGCCAACAATTTTCTTTCATTGGTGAAATGTTCAACGTTCTTGAGATTATTGTAATAGGGCGTCCTTCTTGGGACAGCACTGTACAAATTCCATAAGCCGAGGCATCTGTCGTTAGATCAAATGACTTCTTATAATCAGGGTATCTCAGCATCACATCTTCAGATGCCAAGATATTTCCGTGACCTATGTCTACAACAGTTCCATTTTCCCCTTTTAGGATATCAGAAAAAGGTCTCGCTATAGCTGCAAAATCCTTTATAAAACATCTATAATAGCTCGTCAGACCGAGGAACAACCTGATTTCGAATACAGACTTTGACCTTTTCTGGATCAGTCGTTGCGCCATCACTGGTTACAATAAACCCTAAAAAACTCACACTTTTGTTGAAGAAGCGCGATTTTTCTACTGACACCCTCATGTTTGCTTCGTAAAGGGCTTTAGAACCCAATCTACATGTGTGACGTGGGATTGTTCATTTTCTGAAAAGATGATCTCATCATCCACATATACGTAGCAAGATTTGTTCTCGCAAAATGTCGTCGATTGTCCTGTGAAATATGCTGGGCGCATTTTTCAGACCAAAAGGGAGACTTCGAAATTCATATTTTCCCCCGTTTACCGAAAAAGAAGTTTTCTCACGGTCGCGTTTTGCGAGCATAATCTGGTGAAAACCCGACTTAAAATCTAATGAAATATTTGGTCTTGCCTAAGTTCGCCAATATCATAGAGATATTTGGCATGGGGTACTTGTGGGATATTGTTTTTTGTTTAATTTGAGAAAGTCAATTACTAGTCGCATTTTCTTGTTGCCCTCTTCATCAGTTCCCTTTTTGTTTACTACCCCTATTGGGTTGTTGTAAGGAGACGCTGAGTTTTGGATTATGCCGATACTCAACAGATTGTGTATTTATTTGCTGACAAGGCGGCAGCCCACATAGGGTAAGGATACAATTTTGCATAAATGGGGTATTCGTTTTCTGTCCTGATTGTAGCTACCACCGATGTGTTATAGGGTAGTGCTTCATCTGGATTAGCAAAAGCCTTTTTTCTATCCCTAAGCAATTTTAAAAACGCGCCTTTTATCAATGGCGGTGCATCTGAGCAATCTATATTGATAAAATTTACATCAGTGCACGTATGGCATGGTATTTGCTCCGCTTCCGTACCCCGTTTGATCTGGCTGGAACCTAAACAGAGAGATGCCCCTGCCTGTGGTAAGAAATCGAAACCGATTATCCCATTAAACATAAATAAGTCTGGTAATATAAAAAAGGTTGCCTTAAAGTTAAAAAGCGTGATGAGACATTTTTCTTTAATTGTAGGCACACCGTGAATGGAATGGATTATGAACGGGGAATTAACTGGGCGGACACCTTTAAAACCTTGATGCGGTCGAATAAAATTTTAAGATGCGCCCGTGTCAATTAAGAACTTCATGTGTACCCCTGCTACTCTTCGTCCGATGACAGGTAACATGGATTTTCCGCTAAAAAATTAACTACATCTGAATCATATTTCCAAATAGCATCATCGTTGATCTCTGCTATTGCGCTGGACGCAGTGTTGGCGTAAGATTTCCCTACCTGATCTGAGCCTTGGGTGACGTGGTTTACCCTTTGGGCGCCTGTGCACTCGGACGTTGCCGGTCGCCTATACTGATAAGTGGGAGCTTGGGCAGGAGAGCAAACCTTTGCAGAGGGATCGACTTCCATCGGCTCCGGTATACTCTACAATCTGTTATTACGTGGGTAGGCACTTGAACTGAGGCTCGATGAATTGAACTGTATCCCTAATTTCTATGGCTGTATAAACCGTTTGAGACGAAATCTCGGGACGCGGTGGGCGCAGCGCGCAATTCTGCCACTTGGCTGGTCAATAAATCGATTATTTGTTTAAACTCCCGTTCTTTTTGTAAATTCGCGGTGGCCTGTCCGGCCAGGGCGTTGTCAATAGCCGCCTGCACTACAACAACAATTTCGCCCGTTGGTGGGTTTCTTCTATCTGGCCCTGAATCGCTAGCGTACTGCTTGACGCTTCTATACTTAGAAAATGGTGAGTTCATATACGCTCACAAAAAAATTAAGAAACGGGGACACAGAGCCGCCAAAATGAGAGCTCGTATTTCATCACTTTATAGTTCACCTAGTTAACTTTAAGGGTAGTAGATATGTAGCGCTTGGTGCAGCTGCAGATGGTCCAACGCCATCTAGATACGAAGTGAAAAAAATCGGTGGCGCCATCTAGATCTCGATGGGGAGAATTGGTGGCCTGGCAGGGTTAGATCATTTGGGGTAACAGGGCGAAATGTCAGACTTTCTCTGATTGAGAGAATTTCTCCAATTAGGTGGAGAGATAGGTTGCCGCCTTTATTGCGGCGTCACTAGCCGCCATTCCTAATTGGGCATCCAAAGTGGTCGGTTGAGTAAAAAGTGTGAAATCAGTTAACCAGTGAAAGTGCTCGAAAAGCAGAGGCGGCTACCAACAGCCGCACAGTTACCACGGCAAGGGAGCCCAGAAGGAAGATCCCAGCGGGATTCCGACCAAATTCAGGGGTGAGTGAGAAGTGAATTAGGTCTTTTAGATTTTCTAAGCGGGCTCATCTTGTTGCATAGGTGTTGGCCAAAAGGTGCCGCCCCAAGTCCAAGACGCAACCCGTGAAGTTAGAAGCAGGCACCAGGTTTTTTTTGCAGTGCTGTGAAGCCACCACAGCGCAAAAAGCCACCAGTGATCGGCGCTCCAAAGAGGAGAAGGAGGAGACCACGGATGGACGGCCGGCAGAAAACATAAAAAGAAATCAAGTCAGCGTCCGGCGGGAGACCGAGAGTGTCGCATATTTCGTCGGTGGTGTTTAAAGTCTCATCGTATTAAGAAAAATGGCATATTAATTGCCAATAGTTTTATCGTCAGCCCAACTAAAAAAGTTAAGCAGCCAAAAAGCTGCAATGATGTGCGGAAATTAGTAAAGTTAATTTAGTCTAAGTTTTTTTTTTCTAATAATTTTTTTTTGGTACTCAAATGGAGTGAATGATTAAGTGAGTGAGAAAATATGGAATGTGTGGCTATCGTGGTGTTGTTTTATTGGTAGCTTAAAAGAAAAAGAAAAACGAATTAGGCTTATATTACCAAAAAAAAAAAAGAATAAGAATTAAATGTACTAACGTTCATTTAGTGGCATCGGGTAATGTTCAAATAAATAAAATTTTTAGTTCCTCCCAAACAGCAGACTACCGTCGCCGAAAGCGCTTTCATCGATGGATGTTTAAAGAAAATTGGTGAGTGATATTAATTCCGTAAATCCCGATATTACCCCTACAAGAATGTTCCTACATTGCGTATAGTTATGCTGTTACAAAAAGAAAAGAAATAAATCATACGCTACCGCTCGCTAGGGCCTCTTGAAAAAGAAAAATGTAAACAAAGGCAAAATAACCAAAAGAAATTTAAATGCATTTATATGTTTGCGCGAACGCAACCCAGTCGCCGTTTAAAAGTATTCCTATCCTCACGCACGATGTCAATCAAATACTCTGCCTTAAGCAACTAATTTGCCCGAAATAAATTTCATTGTATTAGGACTTACCATTAATTTCATTAGTCGCATTTTTGATAATTAATATATTTTTAATTATTATTTATATTAACCGTTATATACGTTCATACATGTCAATTTCAATTTTTATTTATTTATTCACCATAATTTTTATGTCTATTTTTAAGAGTATTATTTCGTCTTAGTTTTAATAAATATGTTTATAATGTTCTGAACATCAATATTTTTTGCCGCAGCTAGCATGAAGCCTCTGTAGAGTAAGTTACTGGGGCCTAATAAGGGGTCATCAATAATTAAGAAAATAAAAGGGTATGATGGCCGTAGGTAGGGCGGGCAGAAGACCTCCTCAGTCATCGGAGGTGAACTGAGACTTGTTTGGGCTAGAAGAAACCAATGTCCCTCTCCTCTATTCTTATATGAGTTCTCTACTTCCGGTTTAGTAAGCTTATCTTTCACGCGAAAATAAGTTTTAGGATCAAAAAATGCATTTATGGAATCTGAAGCAAGACCACCACCCCCTCATTGCCGACAAGCAGCAGCCGGACCAACGCTCGCATGCGCTCAGTTCCATGTATTCCATCTCGCCTAAACTCGGAATTATTCGTGATTCGTTACAGATACCTTTACCCTTGCAAAAAATTTGTTTAGTGGTAGATATATAAAAATAATAACATTGTAAATTATATGAGATATAGGGTAAATAAGACTGACACACAGCCTCGACTCTTAGTAAAAATAGTTCAGATTAGAAAAATTAATGAATTTAACGTAATATATTTTTTTGTTAATCAAATCCCGCATTTTATCGGGCTCGGAGCCGTTTTACTTTCGTAGTATTCTTTATTAATTTGTTTTAATTTGCAGACTGGTTAGAAAATATTTAAGTGAGGGGTGAACTTTCATTTTACTTATTATGGTTTCTTCCTCAAAGATAAAATTGTTCATCCAAGAATGTAAAAAAAATTTCCGCGAAACCGTTGGGCTTTTATTGTTCAGCGCCAATTAATCTTTGTTGATGGGCGCGGCCTGAGGTGGTCCTCGTCGGCCGCACTGGCAAGGGTGGTCTTCTTTAATGAGCCAACACGTAGGTGTGGGGGAAACAATATGTGGTATGTATGTGTGGCTTAGGTAGGTCCTCTTCAGCCTGGTGAAACGCTGGTCTTCTCAGAGATGCCCACTCGTGGGCGCGGGAAAAGCGGTAGCTTCTAGGAGCGTCTATTATAGTTGAATGAAAGCTAGCAGCTTGTGATTGCCTCCCATAGATGCGGGGGGAATGCTTTAGCACCCGCGCGTAAGGGTAGGCGGCTGGAAACTGCTACTTGGAATTGCCTCCCGTAAACGCGGGAGGAATGTGATTGTTGCTTATCACACCTGCTGAAGCCCGCTCGGTAATGCGGGTGGATGAGGTGGCCTTAACTTCGTTTTCGTATGTGGAGATCGGGGATCCCTCGCCGCAGCAGAGCCGGATAGCTATCCCTTTACAGTTGCTGATTAGGATGACTTACGTTGGGAGGTGACTGCCCCCTTCGACTGCTGGCCTAGAGACTCAGTCAGTGCTAAATAATAAAGAGATGTTTAACGGCTGTTGCCGGAGTTTTGCAGAGCTATAGAACTTGTGTTCTTTATTCGTATAGAGCTTGAAGCGAACTGAACATAAAGTTAACAAAAATTAAATTCATAGCGGCCACGCAAATATGCAGTGCTTGCCGGCTATGCCCGAGCATATGGCCAAATGCAGCGTCAGCGGTTTTGTGCGCTGCTGGGGTTCGGACATTTGGTCATCGCCTCCGTCCGGTTAGCTACATTGTTAACTAACATAAGGGTTTGTGGTTCTATGGATATGAGGATGTTTTTTATGTTTAAAATGGGTTGATTGTGTACATTTTCTTGGTTTTTCGGTGTTTCTTCCTTTGGTTTTACATATTTTACAATTAATTTTTTTATATATTTTTAAACTTCTAGATTGTTTATTTATTTATTCGCCAATGGATAAATCATTATCTGGACTCCTGGCTCGGACATTAAATTTAATTGAGCTTAATATGAATGGACTATCAATATTACCAATTATAACATCCTTGTTAAAGAGCAAGCTCGCTATCGACCGGCGATCTACTAGACTGCAGGTATGCAGTAGGCAACATTGGCTAGAGTAAGCTGGCAAAGGATCCGAAAAGTGTAACGGCTGAAATTCAAATTTTAGGTATTTTTCTGCAGCCTCTCAATTCTATTAATATGTACAACACCTGAAGGGTTCCAAATAAAGGAAGCATATTCCACCCTTGAACGCACAAATGCTGAGAACACTGTTCAAGTCAGATTGTAGTAAATAACTGTCTTTTATGGATTTCACTGGCATTTACATTTTAAGGTCATCCGCATAAAGAAGAAACTTGACAGATTGAATGCAGAAACAAATATCATTAATGATAATAATAAAAAGCAAAGGACCAAGAGAACTGCCTTGAAGAAGACCAGAGGTTACATCATTGGAGTTAGAAACATTCAATACCAAGCTTAAAAAGTTTTGCTTGCATGGCAGAGTGAGAAACCTTATCAAAAGCCTCGGCGAAGTAAGTATAAGCTGTTTACACTTGCGAATGGAACTCAAAGGCTTGTATGCAATGTTTTGAGAAAATGTTAAATTCGAGGTCGTAGAACGACCGGGCATGAACCCGTGCTGATTAGGGTCAATATAAGTACGTATCAGGAAGGATAATTTTTTAATTACAGTTCTCTAGAATAGCTTTGCAATATTGCTGATTTTAGCAATAGGCCTGTAATTAGAAACCTCAGACTTGCTTCCGCCTTTATGAACCGGTAGAGTTTTGGCAATTTTCCATCTAGAAATAAATTTACCCTGAGATAGCGAAGAAGGGAAGATCATCTTAAGGGGATACATACATTTTGATACATTTTTTAAGAAAAAACAAGAAAGAAAGCAAACTTCGGCAAGCCGAAGTTCATATACCCTTGCAACTATTGCAAGAATTAAATACTTTTGAAGACATTAAAATTATGATTTACTTGCATGCATGTTAAAAAACATTGAAGCTATGATGATTTGCAGCTCAATTATTAGATAGTTATTTTTTATATTTTTATTATTTCTATGGGAGCTATATGATATAGTCGTCCGATTTTGATGAAATTTAAACCGTAATTCTAAAATATTTAACCATTACTATATGTGGAAGAACTAAAAAAAAAAAATTAAAAAAAACAACAAAGTTATAATTTTTTTTATTATTATTATTTTTTATTTTGTTTTCGATTGTTCCTATG